GGTGGTTGGCTTCTATTATTCGCGTTGGAACAACTGATATGATAAAGAGCACTGTACGCAACATAAAAAGCCAATAGCTACGCAATCGACTGTTGACGGATACCTGTACAATGCGATGAAAAAGATACGTCTTTTCGAGAGCAAAAGAGAAGCGAAAAGACATCAGTGCGAATAGCTGGAAGTACTGATGGGCAGAAATGCGGCCTAAAAATTCTATCAGAAAATAAGGCTGCTGTGAAACGTTTTCAATATCGCAGCTATCTCCTGCAGTGACGAAGTTAGAAATCTGTTAACAGACTCCAGGAAGACACTTTGAAGTGGCAACCTAGGCGGCGTGGTTGAAAAAGAAGCACCTATCCCAATGTGTAGGACGGAGCTCACGCCTATCTACTTGACTAAAAAGAGATGATTGCAATAACAATAAAGCTTAAGAAAGAACTCTCTGAGCGTACTTTTATCTGATGAATGCGTGCCAGAAGATCGGAATTTCAGAGGATGTAAGATCCTGGTGTTTGCCACAAAGTTTCTCTCGTTGTTCGTAAACCACAGTCACTTATCCTATGCTCCGGAATTATTGCTCACAAGCGTATACATTGACAACATCGGCTGAAAGAAAAAGATTTGAGAGAGAAAGGAAGGCCTTCTCTGCGTTGGCAAGCTGAGGTGTAGAGGCGTCAGATGGCACATAAAAGCAAAGACAGGCGTATTTTATTGGACTCGGCCATAATTACTTAGGCGGTTACAATACCAACCAAGAAGAAAATGGACCAACGCTTAAAAGAATTCCTGAAATGGCTTTTTTTGGTTTTTATTTTGAAATAAAAAAATAATTTTTTTTTGGGTCCCTCCATTGCATTTTTTGTAAGTTCACCTTTCGTTATGCGAATGATTCGCATAAAATGATACGAATATTTTGCGAATTCGAATGTGTACATGGGCAGAGTGCGCAGTTAACGAATTTTAAAAATTTGACATTCGAAACATCTCTAGTCTAAAGTATTTTTGCAAGACAATTTCGTAAAAAAGTTCAGTAACACCTACACTTGGCAATAAAATTTTTTTTTTTAAGTTCTACTACATAGAAGAACCGAAATACTTAGCAGTTGTCGAGCTTGAATTTACTTACATTAGGGTGGTACGCTAGGGTCGGTGAGTTGTAGAACGGGGTACTTTCTCCTCATGCCGCAGATATGACGAAAAGTGTAAAAGGCGACCCTATGTTCGGCCAAATAATTTTTTTTTTATTTTTTCCAAATCAATTGCGAAAAATATTTTAAATTCATGAACGGCGAACTTTTTTTACTGGTACGGTCCAATGCCCATTAGGGTGGTCAAAAAATGCACGTATAAAGTAAAGTCGGAATTTTTTTGCTCCCACCCCCTAGGATTGTTCTATATCCAAGAAAGTAGACCCCTATTTTTGATTTTGAAATTAAAAAATATTCAGAGGTCGCTCAAAGTGCTCAAAGTTTTCCATGTATTTATTTTGTATGGAAAAAAAACCTCTCGTGGAAATGTTTTGGAATTCTTTAAAATCAATATTTTTCGATCGGACTCTATTTCTCTTCAACAGATTCCCAATAATAAAACCCAATTATTATTATTTTTTTTTTATTAGTAACTATATTTTATAGGGCCGCCAAATCCCCTAAAAAATGCCGGAAATGACATGGGGGGATAAGTAAAAAATCTCCATTATTAAAAAAGTGGTTAAATAAATAATTGGATTTTGTTATTGGAAGTCTCCTGAAGGGAGCCAGAGTCTTCATTTCGAAAAATGTTGATTTTCAAGAATTCCATACCATTTCCACAAAAAGCCTATACATGCCTAACAAGCGGATAAGTAGAACTGCGCGCCTGGTCGCAAAAAGGCATCACCAACGAATTGCCATTAACAAATTTACCAATTATGAGCAAGATGCAAATACGCCAAGTTTTTTGCCAACTTTTCTTTACATTTTCATTTTCACTATTATTACTTTTTCTTTGAACAGCAGGCAGTACGAAATTTTTGCTGAAAAAAACTTGGTAAGTTAACTTGTTCCACTGCGCGAGCTTACGCACCAAAATCAATAAATGAACGAATGAGCAAATGAATGAATGGCTGAATGAGCGCGCATTCATCAAAAGCGTAGATTTACACGCGATTATGCGAGTAGCTAGTAGAGCGCGCGATTTCGGCGCTTTTACAGCAATTAACAGCATGTTAACACAAAAAAAAAAACAGAAAAAAACAAAAAAAAAAAAAAAAAAAAAAAAAACAAGAAAAAAACGTACACACGCAGCACAAATAGATAGCAAGACAAACAAAAAAAAGAACAATCATGGATAGCACCGAAAATACTCGCAAGCAACAAAAAATTCTATAAAAGTGACTTACATATGTATGTATATACATTAGACTGCATCACTCCCCATACAAAAAAAAAAAAAAATCGGTACTGTTTTTCTATTGGAATTATGAAACCTAATATATTCTAAGACGTCCACCAAAATATGTCGCAAAAATATTACGATTTAAGCGGGCTAGACCGATTTGAAAATACCTGCTAAAATGGAGCTTTTTATGAATAAAAAAAAGTTTCTTAAAGATATTTTTTGAAAAAATCCCCTCAAATGACAAAACGGGTTAAGCTTGAAAAATTTGCATTAAAATATTTAAAAAAAATTTAGAACAGAATCGTAATAATGACATTTTTGATGCTGTTTTTGAATTTTTACAAAGATTGGTGCAAGATAAACTTGATAAACTGAACCCAAACTCTTCCGATTTAGATTTGTGAGGTATTTTCTCGCCCTTTTAATTTCTTTGCAAATAAGCTCATTCAAAACACGAAAGAGAAAGGTAGGATGGAGAAATATCATTCTAAGTTTAATTAAGATGTGTTGGTATTTAAAAAAAATATGGGATACGAATCACTTTTTTTGCCCATAAATAAAAAATGGTGTGAAAATACCTTTCTACCGATATCCCAAAAGTCTAAATCAGAATAGTTTTTGCCCAGTTGTTTAAGTTTTTCGTAAATCAATCTTTGAAAAAAGTAAAAAAAAAAACAGCATCAAAAATTTCATTACGATTTCGTTGAAAAGATTTTGAAATATTTTTATGCAGATTTTTTAAGCCTAATCTGTTTTGTCATCTGAGGGAACTTATTCAAAAAGTTCTTTAAGAAACTATTTTTATTCATAAAAAACTTCATTTTTGGAGGTATTTTCAAATTGGTCTAGCTCGCATAAATCTTAATACTTTTCCGAAATATTTTGGTGGACGTCTTAAAATATAATAAAGTTTGTAATCCCGGCGGGAAAACCGCAACTTTTTTTTTTTGGTGATGCAGTCTAATATACATACCTGGGATGAAAAGTGCGGTAGGAAGCGTGTTTCCAAAGTTTTGGATTGCGTACATATGGATGCTTCACGCATGAATTCACTCCCACACATTGGTACATACGTATGTATGTATGGATGCACAAACACAAATGTGTGTATGTATGCGTACTTATATGTATGAGGAAATACTTAACAAAGCGCAACACATTTGGTGGAGAGCTGAAAGGGAAAAAATATTTCGATTTGCCTCCACTGAATACCGAGAAAAAGGTAGGAAAGATGAGAAAAAGTAGGCAAAACTTGTCATTGATAGATGAAATTGAAAAATTGGTTTTGGGGGAGTTTTTGGCAAAGCTTTTGGCTGATAAATCTGAATATCAAAAGTCTAAGCATTTTCATTTAACAAGTTCGCATAATTAAATCTGTATATGTATAAACAGATTGGACTTTTTCAAAATTATATTTAAAAACTTAGCCTCAAAATCTCACTATGTATCTACTCTTCGCCTGTATGCCAAAAATAAATTTATATTTTTTTCAGGTTGCTCAGATTTTCATTACACATTTTTTTTTAATAATTATTTTAGCACTTGTATTCTAATGGCCTTATCCATAAAAAATAAAGTAGGTTTAAAGAGCTTTATAAATCGACGTTTTCATTCATTTTTGAATTTATAAACCTTTTTTAAAGTTACTTTATTTTTTATGAATAAGGTTATATATTTGTATTTATTAGGAATACAAATTACTTAGCTTAGGTTGGCTAACTGGAAACATTTCTACATATACCTCCATATAAATAAGGATATTTAATTTTGTCCACAATTTGTACCACCTCAAATTCTGAAAGTAATGCTGTGCTCTGCTAATTTATTTGGGCCCTTGAAATTAAAATCTTAACATAAATGTTAGCTACTTGAAAATCTAGCACGCATTTTTGATTACTTCAAAACTGGACACACATTATTGCTAATTTAAAAGTAGGACATAATTTTTGGTAACTTACAAAACCATACATCAATTTGTTATTATTTTGGCAATTCAAAAATTAGACATCAAATTTTGATAACCTGTAAACTGGGCATTTATTTCTTATGAACTAAGAACTCTTTTTGGTAAATTAAAAATTGAACATACATTTTCAATAACATAAATACTTTTACTTTTGAGGAGAGCAAAGAAACTGTTGTAAAAAATATTGTTGTCATTAGAAAAAAGTGTGGGATTCGCCACTTTGTTAAAGCCAGTATCCTTTGCTTCTAAGAACACTAGAAATTCGACCATTTGCCAACTTACGTATCTTTCTAAACGCATGCGCAATGTATCGTAAATAAAAATGCATTTTTGCACAGTCGATAGTTTGACATGGTAGCGACGATATTAAAGCTACCAAAAATTTTGGGTAATTTAAAACTTGGATATGAAAAATGGGAAAATTTGTTTGGCAATTTAAAAAATGTGAAAAATTTTTGTCTATTAAAAAATTGGATATAAATTTTTGGTGGTTTAAAAGCCAAGCTCACATTTTTGGTTTTTAAAACTGATTATGGTTTTTTCATTTAAACAAGTAGACATAAATTTTGGCACTAAAATACTAGACATAAATTTTTGGTAACCTAAAAACTG